TATCAGAGTCAGGTGGATACACTATTATAAAATACAAATGTAAATGTGTGGAATATGTGAGAAATATGAAATAAATTAATGTATGTTTACAAATCAAGTCTTAAAGACATCCAAAGCTCTGGAAGTGATGGGCAAGGCAGGAGTATCCCTCAGCATTTGGTCTTCTTTCTGAGGAATAAAGACTTAAGCAGTTCCACCGGCATCTCTGTCTTGGCCGGGGCTATCTATCACCTTTGGTCCTGTTATGCTCAGGCTGCTTTAGTAGGCACTAGGTCCTTTTAGCTCTGTTGGTAGGGTTCCCTGCTACTCAGATGTGAGCCTTCCAACTATAAAGACTGGAGAGAGAGGGGATAAAGGAGCCCTGCCTCCTCTCTAGATAGCCAATTTTCCTCCTGAGAGAAGACTCCAAATCTCTGTTAACACTCCTGTGGAAGACAATGCTGTTCACTTGACATTAGATAAAAATCCCAAACCCCATGATTATTTTCTGGACTAAAGACTTTGTGTCCCAAATGACCTCTAGAGATTTTCCTAGTTGCTTTCTATCTCCACAACTTCACCCACATCTCTCTTGGCTATTCATCAGTGAAAACAAAGATAGGTGAGCATTACTCGTGATGTTTTCATTCTTCTGGACACTTTAACAATATATTTTTATTTGTAAACTTTAGTGAGGTATAATTTACAGACAATAAAATGGACTCAACTGAAGTGTAGAATTCAATGGGTGTAAACAAATATACACATCTGGGTAAACATCATGACAACTGAGATACCAAATTTTCAAACTTTTCTATCACCATGGAGGGTTGCCTTATGCCCTTTTGGAGTCAGTTCCCACCAATACAACATCCAGGTAAACCAGTGGCCTCTTTCTAGCACTATAGATAAGTTTGCTGCTGACTCTAGAACTTCCTAGGAATGGAATCACTCAGTCTGAACTCCTGCGTAAGGTTTCTTTCACTTAACATGATGTTTGTTGTATTTATCCATATTATTTTGTGTATTGGTAGTCTGTTCTTTTTCATTGCCAAGCAGTACACATTGCTTGGACAGAATACAAGTTTGTTTATCCATTTACGTGTTAATAGACCCTTGACTTGTCTCTTATTTTTAATACTTACGAATAAAACTACTAAGAATATTTGTGTACAGATCTTATACACACATTGACGTGCTTTCATTTCTTTCAGGTAACTATCTAGAAGAAGAATTGTTGAGTAGAGATTTTCTCTTTAAAAATTAAGACATAAAAACATATCGTGTTTAACAGAGTTCAATTCACCTTATTTCCATTTAAACATTTAAAAGAAAGAAGTGACATCGTAAGTCATGGAGTAGTCCACGACTGAAAAGGGCACGTGATGTTCCTACAGGCAAACAAAGTAAACTCCCTTCAGATTGGAGCTTTCTCTAAGCACTGGGAAGGGGCTCAGAACTTACTCAAGGAGTAGTTGAAAGAGAAATTAAAAATCCAAACTTCACAGAACAAATCCCTTTATTAACAGGACTTGTTTTGATAAAGGGATTTCTCTGTAAAATTTGGATTCAGTTAAAAGGATGAAGGATTCTGCACTGAAGGATCCAGAAGACCATATATGGCCTCAAGGCTGAGGTGGGGACCCCTATGTGGAACTCAGCTGTGAGTTGTTAAACATAAGGCTAGAGTGCAAAAAAGTGCCTAGTAAAATTAATGTGTAGGAAATCCTTAGCATATATTCCACATATAAGGAGATAAGTACGGACAACTCCTTTAACATTCCAGTTGTATATTCTCATCTGATTATAATGTTTACCCTTGACTTTATCTAGATTAAATGGTGTATAGTCAACTAAATGAACATCAAATGTAAACAGTAAGTCTTAGCCTGTTTTCTGCAACTAACACCTCATACCCCAGAGGGAATTTTCCAATTCAACTTCAAAGACTAATTAAACATTTGGGGTAGGAGCTTTGGAAAAAAGAAATGACTGTGTAATTTTATTTTACATATACATGTTAGATAAAAAATAAACAAAAACTTCCTCTGGGTACTGAAAGTTTGGAGTTGGATCTTCTGAAAGGCAAAGAGCACTGGGAAAATAATTAAACATTTCAAGTGTTTGTCAACAAATTAAAGTTTCACGTTCCAAAATTTCATAATTAAGCTATGTCATCTCTAATCATCTTATAGTTGATCACCAGTTAACCTCTTATCAAAGACAAAGGTTTGTATTTTCATAGTTTTATGTCTCCTTTTTCAATTTAATATTTAAAGAAAAGTAGCATTTAGAAAACATGAATTTTTTAGAAAAGAAAGAAAATGAGAACATATTTTATAAGGCATCTGGTCCTTCTAAAACTACCATGTGTTTTACTTTGATCTTACAGCTTGTTATGGAGACCTAAGTAGTGTTACCTCACATCATAAATGAGGTGGTCAAAGTAGTAGAGTTGAGCCTTTCCAGTTTGGCTGGTAAATCAACACCTGGCCTACCACTGAAATCTCCATGACAAAGACAAAATGAAGAGTAAGGAGGACACCAGCTTGATTCTCCTTATAGCAGCTAGAACCTGTGGTCAGGGCTAGCTTAGGAGTGATTTGGTGACTACAGTTCATAAAAATTAGCAGAGAGACATGACAAAGACTCTGCCTTCTGAGAGTACAATTCACTTGACATGCTTGTCCTTTTTCCTCCAAGTCTATTGCTACTACAAGCCACCTCCAGATACATACACCTTGGAGGAAGTAGGAAGGGTACCACACTAGAAAGCAAAAGTCTAGGGTCCTTGAGCAATACTTAATGTCTTTGGCTTCTCATCTATGAAACTCAGTATCAAGTACTTTTCCTATTTGAAGCTAGGAAGCTGGGCCCAGACTTCTTGATCCTAAACCACTCATTCAGTATTCCCACTTAGGGCTTCCTATTTACACATAATGGTGGCTCTGCCCTCCAGCAGACTGCAAACCACACACATTAGGCACTGTGTAACAGCCTTTCTCAGTTTTCTATTCTTAGAAAGAAAGCCCCATGGGATATTTCTATGCTTCCAAATTTTACTTTTGGAAACTAACAAATAATATATTTAAAAAATGAATAGATTAAGCATAAATCTATCTGATATACACATTTGTTTGTCAATGACATCTGCTACAAGATGGCTTCCATGACGCTATTTAAATAGCTGGTAAATGCCAACCTGAAGAGCTTCAGGCACTGGTCCCTGGACAGCTGGAAGAGATAGTGCACGCTCTAGAAGGTCTATCAGGAAGTCCTCAGCTGAAAATTGGACTGAGGTAACCAGACAATCTGTGCTTCAGAGAACCAACTACTGCCAAAGGAGTTGCTGTATCATTGTGCAGCCATGAGGACATGCTTCACAGACCTCCAACTGCAGGGAGCGCAACTGGCCAAGGATCCCAGCTGTCATTCTCTGAAATCCATCACTGCATTTTTCAGAGCCAACTCTGCCTCCTCAAGGCTCACTGCTGGAGTGCAGTGGGGACAGAAAGGCAGACCTCTGATGGCTCATTTTGTTTGAGGTCTTCTTGATGCCTTGCTACCTCTGACTGCATAGCAGATAAGCCTCCTTCCACCAAGCCTCTCTTTCACTTGGAATAAGACTTTAACCACCACCTGACATTCTCCCTGTCTTTTCTAGCTTCTTACCTATTTCCTTTCATGCAGGGATTTCCTCTAAAACTAACCTTGCAATTTTAGTCCCATCTAGGCATAAAGGGTCCAAAGATCCAGACTAATATATCATTTATTCATTCACTCCTCCAATAAATATTTACCAACTGCCTATGTTTCTAGCACTTTGTTCTAGGCACTAGGGAGACTAGTGAACAAGACTGAACAGGCCCCCACATTCATAATCCTTCCCTGTCTGAAGTGTCCTAAACCAGAGGCTTCTTCAGTGACTACTGTGTGTTGGACACTGAGCTAAGAGCAATCGACATACCTCGTCTCATCTGCTCTTCACAACTGTGAAAGGCGGTATTATTATGTTTTTTTCAAGAGGACTTAGATTATGTTGCCAGGGTCTTCCCTAATACAGGCAATTTTTTAATCCCAACCTCACACTTTTAGCCAGTAAGCTATGGTGTATGTATTTCATTTAGGTAACAACACTGAGCACTTGGATTTGCTGGTAATGATAATACATCTGCATAGTTGATTTTCCAAAGTCTGGCTTCATTTCTTAAATTTAAATTTATGAGGTCCAGGAAAACACAGTGCTTCAGTGTTCAGAATTCTAGACATACTATTCCAAAGTCAGGTTAATGACAACACTGTTTAACCCACACAGAAGAGGTCCCATACCTTGTACAAGTTTCCAACTCATCCTCATTATGACAAGGAACGTAGAGAAATGGACACCATGCTTGCAAAGGACAGTTACTGATTCTTATCACATTGAAAGGAAATGCTGAGAACAGGACAGTCTTCTGGCAAGCCTAGAGACGTTTTGTGACTTAGGGGCAATCCCCCCAGTAACTCAGTATTCTAGAATGAGATAAGATCGGTCACTCACTAGTAAGCATGTGTTAAACATTGATGCTTTATACTTCTTCATGGGGTGGTGGGGAAAGAACACGTGAGGAAAGTGCAGGTGGCAATCCTTATGCATGCAGTCCTCATATGTCATTACCTTAACTCTCCACACCTGTTGTGTATAACCTTAATAAACAGCCATTGTGGAGGGGGCTCTGCGCTACCCTGCACTTAAGGTTAGCCCACCTTCCACAAGCTTGTACTTCTAATCCATGTCATGCCTGGTTCCTTCCTGCAGCAACTAAGACCAGGGCCTTAGGGGTCACAACAAAGGAATGTGGAGGGGACAGAAAAAGTCTTGGCTTGTCTGCTTTCCATCCTGGCCACAACTCAGCCCTGTCAGACCAAGGGCTGTGATCGACAGCTTCACTCAAAGGCCAGCCAAGCCCACTGCAGACCCAGCCACACCAACTCACACAGCAACTGACAGCACCCTTCTGAAAACTGATGCAAACACATACCGTGATGTCCAGGGTCAGCTGTAGAGTCCTCTGCACTTGACTTAAATTCACTGAAGTTCAGGAAAGAAACAGGCTGAGACTCCTGCAGCTTCTCTGAAGTTGGCTCATCAAATTCCTTGTGGAAGGTAATTAACAATTCATGAGAAGCTTTTAGAAAGAAATAGCACTACCACAAATGAAACAATATTCTTATTTAGAATATTACTTAGAAACAAGCTTATCTAATCCTCTCTTTTAAATATAACATTTTCAAACTTCAGAAAGGTAATTTGGGATTAGAAAAACAGCTCTGAATCAACGAGACAGGGGACCTTGGGCAAAGCATTTAACCTGCATGAGCCTCAGTTTCGGGGCTTTGACCAGGTGAGTCAAGGGGGATCCCCAGGGCACAGAATTGAAGGTGCTCACACCATTGGTGGCTGAGAGTGAGTGCCTCCATTGATTATGCATCCACCGTGTCCCACCTAACCTCACCCTACCAGCCCTTCTCAGTTTTCTGAGTTTTTCTTCCAAGTTCTCTTCCAGCTTTAAAAGTTATGTGATTTTATGAATTCCAATTTCTTAGAATAAGACTGAAGAGAGCATATGATGAAAGAATTCATACTTCAAAAATAGAAAAGGTGAACATCTCAAATTAAGAGGTATTTTAATAAATTTTGACTTTTCCCTCCACTTTGTATATTTGTGTTTGCAACCAAGAGCTGCTGCTGGATTGACCTATTTTCCTTGATTGCTTTAATGGGAGCTATTCCAAAAGTGTCTTCTTATTAAAAAGGAAGTTAAAAGGAAAAGTTCAAACTAACCTTAAATGAATAAGTAAAATGCAGCCATGCTACACTTCATCCAGTACAGGATTTGTGAGAATATCGTCATAAAGCGTTTTTCAGAAGTCCATTTACTATACTGTATAATAATTGCTTCAGAAGGTAAAACTGGTTCCAAATTTCAAAGGATCACTGATGGTACACAGACTTCAAGAACAAAGAAAAGAGACTGCACAAAAAATGTCTTTACAGGTACTTCAGAAATTATTTGAAAATAAGTATGTATTTGGACTCTCAATTGACTTTGATTTGCTGAGGTTCCCTTTGAAGAGAATAGACAGACTTGTTGTAATTGCTTCTCTTAGAGAAAGACTTGGTCTAATCTTTGATCCCTGTTATCACTCCAAGTCTGGAGACTTGATCTGGTATGCACTTTTCACAGAGACCCAGTTCTAGCATCACCATTAACTCTACATGCCACAGGATGAAAAACAGACTGGACCTGTCTTGTGTATTATGGCAGCTAGTTGTTTTTAAGCTGCCATCCTTTAAAGACAAGGTGTCTAATATGATTCTACATTCAACTGTGCTTCAAAATTTCAAAGTCCAAAGTCAGCCAAGCAGAACACCTGCCAAAATACAAGGCCTTGTCAGTTAGGGTCTGAAAAACAAAGCAAGGTTTTCTCCTAAACGCCTCAAAGAATTTTATACCATGTTTAAGAGGTAAACATAGAGCCCATTCTCTTCCCTAACTCTGATTCTCGTCTACAACTGTTTTTGAAATATAGTATAAAGTGGTTTGCTTCAGCTAGGCAAGAGAGAAGGAAGAAGGAATAGAGAACAGGTTCCAACGAGACTGGAAAGAAATTAAATCATAAATATGAGTATGGGCAAGGGGAAGAAAAGCACTCGAAGATGGGAGTATTTTCCTTTTTCTTCCTCTTCTTCATCACATGTTTCTTTAGTCTCTTTCATGTGATGAATCCTATTTCTTTCTCATTTTATTTCATCTCTTTTGGCTCAATGATAACTTTCCCTGAGGTGTTTTAAAACCTTTCAGGACCCTCTGCAAAGTGTTCAGCTTCCTGTTTCCTTCTCCTTTGTTCTCTGAATATCTTCAAGCCTGCCTCACTCTTGTGCTTGTGAACATGATTAAACTTGACTCTTCTCTGCCTGCCCACCTCTCTTCTTCTTCTTCCTGGAGTGAACAAGAAAGTCTTTCCTCAGGTCACTCCCATCTTTTCTTCCATTCCTATTAAATAATTTTATTCTTAAAGAGACTATAAGATATTCTATTCATTGGTAGATTTTCCAGGTCTTCTTTCATTTGGAGGTGAACTTCTGCTTTCAGGAGGCCTACTTTCTGTCCATTATTAATCAGAGTGTGGATCTAGACCAGCAGCATGAGAATTAGCAGAGAGCTTGTTAAAAAGGCAACATCCCTGGTGCTACCTTAAACCAGCTGAATCAGAATCTATAGTTTAACAGGATCCACAGGTGAATCCTCATATGTTGAAAGATCCGCAGGTGGCTCAGGCATGTTTCAAACTTGGAGGAACACTGCTATAAACTATAAGAATTTGGGGGAGGGCCTGCTGCCTGTGGATCTTCTAGGTCAGAGGTTTTCATGAAGAAGAGGCAACATTTGAAAAAATAGGTAGAATGCTGACAAATGGGCCAGAGGGAAATGGCTGATGCAATTGCACAACAGCGGTGGGGGTGCTGAGTCTGGGATGCGAGGCCACCCGGTCTATGGGCCTGAACCAGTTGGGAAGAGGACACAGTGTTCAAACAGAACAGATTCAAGGAATGCATATCTGTCTGGAACATCCTCTGTCCCCATCAGTAAGTATACAAGTATAGGAAACATGCCTCTGGAAAGCTCAGGGTACTAACCTTAGAGATCAAAGAATAAACCAGGGTCTCTGGCCAGAACAGCATCAGCATCAGCACTTCCCCTCTTGGTCCCTTTGCTCTTTGCTATAAAAAGGGAATGGAAGTGGGAAGTCACTAGGGAAATTATGAATGGGGAGTTCTTAGAATCCTTGTGAAATCTTCTCTTTCTTCATCTAAGTTGGGCTAAGATCAAATGTTTTGTCTGACTCCCATATTCTATATCATAATACACAGAATCTGGCCTCAGGCCTATCTTCAGTTAATTCAGGACCCCCAAAGTATCCTGATTTATTGGAGGGGGGGACACTGATAATAATTATATCAGAAATAAATGAGAACTCAATGATGATTATCTTGAAGGGTCAATAAGGATAAGCAAAGAAGTTAAGTAAATTATCAGACACAATTTATGATCATACTTAAAACTACACTTTTATTTGCCATATGGTAACTTTAAGAAAAAAGAACCCCATTTATATGTAATAAAACAACATATTACCATGTCTGTACTTCTCAATTTCCAATGTTAGGGAGAAAGTCCCATAGACTTAGAGGTCCCTGAGCATTCCAGAAAAATGTGCCCCAGTTTTCATCACTAATTGGACATGCATTTTGCACATATTACCAAACTCAGAGTTCCTATAATCCCAGCAGATTCCTTGTGAGGATCTGTGGGAATGTGCAGTTCTCAGCCCTGTAGGGACAAAGCAGACTAAGCCAGGGAAGAAGACCCGCCTTCGCAGGCTACCATTTGTGGGGCCCAGAAAGCGTCTGGGGAGCTAAAGAAATGCTTTCCATTTTCAGAGCAGCCTTGGTCCTTCCACCAGTATTGGCATTGAGACTCTCCCCTAGGAGGGATCTGGCCCTGCTGCTGTTCTCAGGGCCTTTTAGCCAGCAATTTCTTCACTCACCAGGTTCTATGAGCAGGAAAGATCCCATCTCCCAAGCCTCTGAGGCAAGCAATAGATCCTATAGTGTGCTTTGCTTAATGGGAGGTGGGAGTAGCAAAGGGGGGGGTTGGATTGAGTACATATTGCTACAACCCCCACATTGTCTGCTAACTGGCCCAACAGACTGAGGAAGATTCTTAAGTCCAGAGGATACTAGGTCCCTTTATCTGGTCCACTTGGGATTTTTAGAACTCTACAGCATCTAGAACCCCTAAATAATTGAGAAAGGCAGATCACTGACAGCCATCCCCCTCAGAGAATAGCAGAAAATAAATGTTTCTAGGCCCTGTCTGGCTAAGAGTGAGCTCTTCTGAGTGCTTCTCCTAAGACTGAACTCTTCTGAGGGCTCCTGCATGCCCAGGCTTTAGAGACTCTAATGACTAAGCCAGCAGAATTGGCATCCCTGAAATTCAGGGAATTGTCCCCCAGCTTCAAGGGGTTTGGTTCTCCCTCCTAAAGGAAAGATTTTCTCTCAGATGCAGAAATCTTCAGTTAATGAACTATCAGGATTTGAGATGGAAAAAGTTCCCCATAAAAATGATTCTATCCCGGGCAGTGCCTGTGGCTAACTGGGTGGGGCACTGGCCCCATATACCAAGGATGGTAGGTTCAAACCTGGCCCCAGCCAAACTGCATCAAAAAATAGCTGGGCGTTGTGGCAGGTGCCTGTAGTCCCAGCTACTTGGGAGGCTGAGGCAAGAGAATCACCTAAGCCCAGGAGTTGGAGGTTACTGTGAGCTGTGACACCATGGCACTCTACCGAAGGCGATAAAGTAAGACTTTGTTTCTAAAAAAAAAAGATTCCATCCCAAGTTGATTTTACCAGAAGAGCTATGAAGTGGGTGTTGATGTCCATTGCCCAAATATGATTTCATAAAGATCACCTTATGTATAACAGCCTACCTTAAGGCCTATGGACATATTTTTCAACCATTAGAAAAAATGTTATTTAATATTTATAGATCTGGAATACAGAAGACATGAATTTGGGTTTCATTTCATGTGAATCTGCAGCCTTATTTGTTACTGGTCATCTAGAGAAGTTCTTCAAAGTTTGAATGAGATTATTAATAAAGTACACAGCGATACAGATAGGAGACATAAAATGGAAAGAATAAAAAATACGACAAAGAGAACAACGGACAATGTAAACAACAATAGCATGGGTGGAATTAAAAATTAGATACATACATATTTGTTCTGCCAACTTATCATTTTATCCATCAACCATGCATTCAGTGCCCATCCAGTCATCCTATACACAGCAGACACTCAGTTACTATTGGATGAATCAATCGATCCATCACTAGGTATAAGCTCTTTGAATTAGTATTGTTACCAGCTGCTGACCTGCATTCTAGAATCCTCCCTGGTAAAGGGCAAAGTAAGTTGGGATGCTTTTGTTTTCTACTGTGTCCCTTTTTCTACCCAACTGGCCCCATGAATCTGAAGAATCTGAAGCAAGAAAAGGTTTTATGTGCAGTTTAAAACAAGAGGGTACTTACACGGAGGACATCAACACTCAGCTGTTGAAAGTTCCGAGACCTCAATTCTTGCATTCGTTTGTTATTCTCTTCATATTTTTCTTCCACAATCTTTCTGAAAATTTAAAGTGAATATAGAAAAATAACTGTGAATTCCTAAAATTCACAGTTACACAGATAAGTGTGTTAACCTGATAACAGATAACCTGTTACACAGATAAGTGTGCTCCCTCTTTCAGCAGGCAGAGTGGGGCACTGGGAAGCCAGGCCATCAGGTCTCTCCCTCATCAAGGTGTATACTGCACAGCACCCAGTTAAGTTTCTTTTAAAGCACACACAGGGACGCTCTGGCTGCTAATTTATCCTTTTAAACCCTAAAATGCAGAAGAAAGAGGAGACAATACTCATCCTTGTATATTCTGTAAGGATAACAAGGGTGTGTGTCCCCAGTGCCAGCACAGTGCCTAACACATACTTGTAACTTGAAAGTTGCCTTTAGAATGAACAAACTGATGGACAAGTCAAAATAGAACTATTTATCGAATAATCTGTGGGAATATATATATACACGGGAACTACTGTGCAAGAGAACTTTTCTAGGGACACATATTCTTTGTTTTCTCTGCTACAGGAGAATTGAATTTAATACACCTGCTATTAAATTGGAAGAAAAACACTATGGGAGGCTGAGGTGAGTGGACTGCTTGAGCTCAGCAGTTTGAGACCAGCCTGAGCAAGAGCAAGAATCCATCTCTAAAAAATAGGCTGGTGTTGTGGCAGACACCTGTAGTCCCAGTTACGCAGGAGGCTGAGGCAAGAGGATGGCTTGAGACCAAGAGTTTGAGGTTGCTGTGAGCTGTGACACCATAGCACTCTACCAAGGGTGACAAAGGGAAACTCTGTCTCAAAACAAACAAACAACAACAACAAAAAAAAAACTAGAAGAAAGATTTGAGTTCTTATTAACTCAAATCGTGTGCCAATTTATACTAAGATTTTTTTTTGAAAAGTCACTGAATATCCTTCTAGTCAAATTCTCTTATCTACAAAATGGATAAATTATAACCCTTTGACAATAGCATTATGTTTTAGTTAAAACACATGATCTTTCTTGAATTCTAGATCCCATCAGAAACAGTTTCAATTCATTCATAAAATCAAGACCAAATTTTATTTAAAACCATTGCCTTTAAATAAGAAAAGTATTGTGTATCATGTTGAAGATCTATGACTATTTTGTATACAAAATACAGTTTTAATGTGAGCAATAATTTATTGATATGCATGTAAATTTGCCTTTTCATCTGTTCCTATGAGAGATTTAATTCTCCTTTTACCCTCAACCAATGACATGAATCATAGTAACCTTGGAAATATTGTCATTTCTGAGGTTTTAGAAACAGATTTGAGGCTGTGAGTTGATGCAATAGCTGAAATAATTTATGTGAATACATTTTCTCAGTAACCATTATAGCGATTTGCAGAAACCAACTTGTATTAGCTCCCAAGAGCCGAGTGTGTATGTAGCTTTCCATTGAGCCTTAAATGATATCATGTTTTTGGGACAGGAGACTAGGAAACAGGGCTGAGACAGGATACAGGGGCTTAAAAGATTGGAGTCAGGTGTCAAAGAAACAACTCTCCAGCAGAAGCTAACGGAGAAGCTGATAAACTCAGGCGAGAATTGGCTTCAAGCATATTGCAAGGGTACAAATCAAGTATATCAAGTATTGAACACAAATGTCTTAACACTGTGATTAAGTAAATGAGGTGAAAGCTATGTTAATTAGTAGGATGCAAGCACTCCAATTTGTACAAATAATCAACACATTGAATCCCACAAAGGCATAAATGTATTCATGATCTATGTGTATATGACTTAATAAAAAAAAAAAGAACTGGTTTCAACTGTCTTCTCAGCTGTCTCTGCCACCTCACATAAACTTTGGCTAATTACAATATCATTTATATCATGCTTTAAAAATTTCTTCACCCATAAAATTACTGTGACAGTTTTGAGACAATCACAAAAAGTATGAAAATGGGAGGGAACCCAATTCTAGGAATTACTACCCAAATTCTTAATAAAAGCCAATCCTTGGTCTTGCATATTCTTCCTCTCAATTATTAAGACTACAGAAATCTAAGACCACTTCCTCTCAGTATAGCCACTCTTTTGGAGCCTGGCTGCTTTCTTTTCTAACAGTATACATACTTTTGCTTTCAATCAAGCCTTCACTTGCTTAGCATACATGGCACATCCTAAAATTCTTTTCTGTGATGAACACCAAAAACTTCAAAAACCTCCACTCAGAGGCCAGTAACAATTAGCAGCTTGAAATTGGCCACAGTAGAAGTCTTTATATCACAGATTTCAGTGGACAAATTAGCAGTACCCTTCAAACCCAGACCTGGTTGTTAAACATTTATCAGTACACCACTGCCAGATGTACTTTGACGGAAATGTTTCTCTAAATTTATTAAATAAAATATATATTAAGGGAAAACAGTATCATATAATCTTACTTGGTTCACTGTGAGATTCATTCATTGTAAGTAGCAGGACATCTCTAAATCATTTTTCAGATACATTAACAAGGTCACAAAATGAACAGATTTTCAGTTCAGAACTTTTCTGCTCTCTCATTCTTGATGGGGTTTCTAAACTACCACAATGTTGGCAGAGGAAAAAAGAAGAAAAATTAAGAATTAAGAAATTGGAGAGGTTCAGCACCCATAGCACAGTGGTTAGGGCACCAGCCACACACACCGAGGCTGGCAAGTTCAAACCTGGCCCAGGCCAGCTGAACAACAATGACAACTGCAACAAAAAAAATAGCCAGGCGTTGTGGCAGGTGCCTGTAGTCCCAGCTACTTTGGAGACTGAGGCAAGAGAATTACTTAAGCCCAAGAGTTTGAGGTTGCTATGAGCCGTGACTCCACAGCACTCTACCGAGGGTGACATGGTGAGACTCTCTCTCAAAAAAAAAAGAAAAAGAAGTTGGATAACCTACCAACTAACTAAGCAGTCTTTCAGAAATTGGGAATCAAGGGTTCTTTGATCTTCCATTTTTAAATGTGAATCTTTTTTCTTCAGCTTTATTAAAGTTTAACTGACAAACAAAAATTATTTACATTTATGATGTACAATGTGATGTTTTGATATATGTGTACCTTGTGAAGTGCTTAAATCAAGGCCATAAACATCCACCATTTGAAATATTTTTTTATGGTGCGAATATTTAAGATCTACTCTTTTAGTAACTTTCAAATATAGAATACATTATTGTTTTCTATAGTCACCATGCTATACAATAGGTCTCCAGAACTTACCCCGCCTGTCAGACAGAAGCTTTGTATCCTTGATCAACATCTCCCACTCCAAGTTCTTTTACCTCTGGAAACTGCCATTCTGCTCTCCACTTTGATGAGTTCTGGGTTTTTAGATTCCACATTTAAGTGAGATCATGTAGTATTTGTCTTCCTATGCCTGACTAATTTCATGTCATACAGGTTCTTCTATGTTGTTGCAAATGATGAGATTTCCTTCTTTTTTAAGACTAAATAGTATCTCATTGTGTATGTTTACACTACCTTTTCTCTAGCTATTCATCCATTGACTTCCACTGAAGTTGATTCCATATTTTGGCTACCGCGAATAATGCAGCAATGTACATGGGAGGGCAGATACCTCTTCAACACATTAATTTCATTTCTTTTGGATATAAACTCAGAAGTAAGAATGTCAGATCATATGGTAGTTCTATTTTTAATCCTTGAGGAAACTCCGTACTATTTTCCACAATAACTATACTAATTTACATTCCCACCAACAATGTCCAGTGATTTCCATTTCTTCACATCCTGGCCAGCACTTGAAATTTCATTTTTCCACATAAATACTCTCATTACTAGTGACAGCTCCCACCAGCAGCACTGCCCCGAGCATAGACTTCTTTAAATGCTTCATTTGACAAAACAGAGCTCTGTTTCCAATTTACTTCCTTCCAAAAGCTAACAATATCCTGCCAATAAACTCTTCCCCCTATGGATCAGCTACTTCTGGTAGAACAGATGTGGCAAGCACCTAGGGAACCAGAGTGAAATAGTTAGGCCTTCTTTTTACCCTCTTGCTGAGGCATGTACAGGAGGTGCCACAACGATGAGTTTTCATTTGGAAAGCGACTCTATCTTCATCACTCATAACCTTCCTAATACTCAGTCCTTCCCCTTACATAAAACTGAAAGCCTAATGTTAATAATACTTGGCATTAAACCCATGGCTCAATAATCATCTTTTGACTGAATGAATGAATGAATGAATGAACAAATAAATATATAATCACATGGTTTGTGCCTTCTCTTTTGCTTTTCTTTAGTAAATTCCTTTAGAGCCCTGGGAAGTAGGCCAGGGCATGGGGCACCCAAAGAGAAGACAGCTTACTTCAGCTTCCTTGCTTTCTCATCAGCCACCTGTAGCTTCCTCAGCCGCATCCTCTCTCGTGGCGTCATTTTCTGCACTTCAGACAGCACCCTCAGAGTCTGCAGGTGGATCTTTTTTTGCCTATAAATAATAAAGATTTCCCACATGCAACCCATCCCAAACATGCTCAGAAAAATTAAACAAATATTTTATGAAACTATCATTATACTACTGAGAGCAAAATCACCTCAAGCTGGCCAGGCAAAAACTAATAAGCTCTGGGTAGGTAATGAGCCAACCAGGACTGCAGTTAATCAGCAATATTTTTCAAATTAGATTTTTGTTTAAAAGCAAATTATGTACTCTCCAAATTTCTGCTCATTTCATTGCCTACAACTGGCTTTCATAATGTAAGACAAATTAGGATCTTGGCCATTACAGAGTAAATATCCTGGCAGAGTTATGCCACCATGAGAATAAAGGCACACACTCTTCAGAGTTAGGCAGTGTTTGAATCCCACCTCCACCACTCATTAACTATGTAGCCTCAGGAGTAACTGAATCTCTCAGAACTTCAGTTTTCTCATCTATAAAGAATGGACTATAATGAGTGTTACATGAGATAACATATGCGCAGTATCTCCCATGTAAAAATTATTCCAAAATGGCAGTATTATAATAGCTGAATCTTGTTGACTATGTCTTATAATCCAGGCTTAATACAGTAGGCATTTTTATGGCAACATGGTGTGGTGGTTACTTGCACAGGTTAGTAACACTCTCTGGGTTCATTCAAATCCTAGCTCCCAGGTTATACTCTATGTAACCTTGGGCAAATTACTTAACCTCCCTATAAGTATTTAAAAACATACACAAACACAATTTCTACTTCATAGGATTGTCCTATATTTAAATAATTTAACTTATTTAAAGAGCTTATTAACAGAGCCAGCCATATATTCATTACCCCCCAAAATGTTCACCAATATTATTACTGAAGAACCTCTTTTAAGTAAAATAAACAAGCTTACATCAATCATGTATCAAAAAGACTGCAACCACACTCTCAATGACACTTGCTTCTCTTCCTGCCTCAGGGCCCAACACTGCAGAATACCTTTTGCACTCAACTCTTTCCTTAAGAAACACTCTGAGAAAATTGTAATGACTGTTGTGGGTACTACTCATTCCTCTCAAATACCATCCAGACCAGAGTCTCTAGAGGATAGGCAATTTTTAAGAATATACATTCTTTATTTTGTCAGACCAAACAGATCTCCTTACAACATAATCACAGATCTCCAAAATAACAATAACAATTGATTTGAAATCAATATGTCATAATATGAAATGCCCTCCAAACAACTGGATTCTAGCATATTGTTAACTGTAAATAGTGTTAGGCAAACTGCAATGCAAAACTGATAGTAGAATTAGTCTATTATTTTTAAAATAAGATATCTACTACTCTCAACATCTCTAACCAGTAAAATAAAATAAAATTGGAAATTTCAACCTTTCTTGAAAGAATAGATAGTAACCCAAGAAAACTTGTTATTAAGAGCCTGTGTAAAGATTTACCCCTGAGGTGCAGTGTTTTTCACTGGAGATGATGCATTAAACAAAGACTGAATATATTTAATGCGCCAGTTCCCTCAGCTCATATGTGAAGACAGAAAGCAAACAAAGCAGAGCTGAGGACCCACTGGCCTGGGTGTTGAAGGGGTATATTCACAGTTGTCAGTATTCTCACCCTACACCTCTCTAGAATTGGACTGCCATTTTCTTTGGGTCCTTACATGATTAAATAGATAATTCCTTCAGTAAAATTATGATTTAATCTTTATAACTAGTGTGCCCTGGAGTTGGGTAATGCACAGTCTACACAGTCATACATGGATGCTTTGAAGCCACCTAGCATTCTGGGCTTTTGCAAATTACAGCACGAAAATTTTTAATTAGGCAAGAGAGAGAAGTTAGGACAGGAAATAATGACGGTTCTTTGGGGGAGCACTCTGCAGTTCTTCTGTGAGAGGCTATCTATCTTAAGAAAGTGAATTTTGGCTTATTCTCAATTGTCCCAAGACTCCACAATGTTCTCTTTTCAGTGGAAACTTTGCCAGTTCACATTAACAAACAACATGCAAAAGCCATTTATGCTTATTATGGAAGGCTCATTAGCATAAATATTACTAAATGCTTGAGATATTAATTTCTCCATATACTTGCAAGGCAACTACGGAGCTACCCTGCAGATCTGTAAGCTGTGCAGTGGTTTAAACTTTTATGATTTCAATTTGCTACCACCTGGGGCAAAGGGCTTTAGAACGCCAAGTTACTGCAGCTCCTTAATTTCTTGGCAAGGCTTAAGTTAATTCTAGGATATTCCATGCAGTCAGCTTAGCACTAATAGATTTTTAAAGACAAACGCATTTAACATTTATGCTCAATGGACTTTTTAAAAACAAAGCAATTACTTACACGGCATTAATTATATGAGCAGCCTCCTTCTGACAATTCAAATTCTTGTCTTCCAGAGTCATTTCCGAATATCTACACATCAGGTTCTGAAAAAAAGATCAACCCTGACAAACCTTAAAGCCTCCTCTTGAGGGATGAAAGGGCATAAAATTACCAGGTGTCTTTTCTGATTTGAGGTATTATTGACCCTGACAGGAAGCTGGAAAACACAGCACACAGTAACAATTTTCCCTCTATAAAGGGCACATAAAATTACATGATGGCTTTGTGGAAGAAGATCCCCAGAGTCACGCTGGTGCCTACCTCCCCTATTTCATCTTCCACTGTTTGCTCTCTCACTCCCTGTTGCCAGTCAGGGGCAGGCCTTCTCTCAGCTCCAAGAATACACAAGCTTTTCCCCACTGAAACCATCCTTTTATAAAATTAATAAAGGGCCTCAAGGTGGGAACTCTGCTAGGGACCTGAATTCTGCAAAGGTATACATATAGTTTCATAAGTAAGTAGACATTGTTCTCTAGCTTTCCTATAATTGCCAACGACTCAGGAGTCACACAGCTGATGGTCATAGAGATTCTTAGTTTTCTTAATTGTTCCCATATTTAACATCCCCCTTGTAAAACCTAAGGCTGATTTTTTAGATATCTTTCAGGGCCTGGATTCCAATGGAATGACTGACCCAATCAGGCCAGTGGGCCCACTCAACTGGCCTTGCAACCCCACCCAAAAACTGACTCAGCACAAGAAGACAATTTCTACACCCCTAAGATTCCAACTTGAATTCAAATCTCCCTGCCCCGCCTATCTGACTTTCCCCACATCCTCACAGCTTCCCTGGAATATGTTAGCATCAGAACCTTCCTTTCTACATCTGTCTGCAGAGAGCACCACCTATCAGGGTGAGTTATTTCCTGTAATTCAAACATTGTTTCTTAGACTCTCATCTGGTTGGCTGCTTTGCTGGTGCTGAAGCATCAACTACTACTTTGACTACCAAATCCCCTCCCTTGCCCTCTCCCTTATTTCACAAAATCTTGTTTATTTCCTTAATAGTGCTTATGATACAGTTGTTTTTTTTTTTTTAATTTTGTAGAGATGGGGTTTTGCTGTGTTGTTTGACTGGTCTCAAACTCTTGGCCTCAAGCAAGCTTCCTGCTTCTGCCACCCAAAGTGCTGGGATTATAGGTATAAGCCACTGCACCTGAACTATTTTATTAACTTACTTTTCCTTGGTCATTGGATTCTCTCACTAGCAGCCAACCCTCTGAAGAATAGGAAACACACCTGTTCCTTTCCTTTGGTGGCCCCAGTGTCAGCACAGTGCCTGGCACTTAACTAATGAGTACAAGTCATCATCATCTTTGCTTCCTTTGGATTTAGAATTTGGCTGGCTGATGAAAAGGCATGCACATTTTTGAAGGTGGATGACTGACAGCTTTTTGGTTCCTCTAAAAGCTATGCATAAAAGTAGAGAAAACTTGCCTAAGGTATCTGCATTGTAAAAGCCTGAAAAATAACAACAACAAAAAAAAACCCTAAAGAGACTATTTGCTTCTTTCTTACCAACTGAGACAGATCATCTACATTAAATTTTATGATTTACAGGAAAACAAAATAAACTTACCTAATCAATAAAAAACTATCATGACACATAATGAGAGACTGCAATAATAAATGCTTGATGAAAATTCTAGATTTTAATATTACTATTAGTACATTCTTATTTCGGCAGTGATATGTTTACAAAGTGTTGAGATAAGATCTGTCAACAAGACCTCTAAGGGTGGATGTTGGATTTAGGCAAAGAATCAGAACCCTAAATTCCACTTCCAGTGGCACCAGGGAACTGGAGTTCATGTACCCTCTTTTGCAAAGTGACAATCTTGACAAATATTTTCTCAGCTTCTTTTTAATCTTATTCCTCCTTTCTGGCTGATTCTTAATGCATCTTATCTGCATGGTGTATCTTTAGGTGACAGAATATGTACAAATGCTAAGGCCTGTTTCCCAGCGTCCCTCTCATTTTAAATACCTGTAGCTGTTCATCAATGTAAGGGAGTTTTAAAATTTCAATAGCAGATGGTCTCAATGAAGGATTCTTGTTCAACATGCTGCAAAGTTTGAAAGAAAATTATTTTTCAAATGAACTATAATATAATTTAAAATTATTTCTGTGGCAACGTATTTATTTCCATACCTTTCCATGATGGAGTTTAGTTGTCTTGGATATCTCTTAGGGAGAGAAGGTGTGTCTCCTTCAACAATTTTTAAAACAATAGACAAGAAATTAGAGCCAGCAAATGCATGATTCATGCAGCACATCTCATATAAAATGCATGCCAGCGACCTGAAGACAAAGTCAAAAAATTTAAATAAGGAACAAATGTCCTACTTTGACTTTTTTCATCATACAAAACCTTAGATGTGTTGGGGCATTGGCTTTGAGGTACTACTGTATACTTCAGTTGGTGGTTTAAAAACTGTAGTTCCATACTGTTATTTTCCATTTAAATACATGTTCACAAAAAAAAAAAGAAAGAAAGAAAGAAAAAAGCACAGAGGTAAGTCTTAATGATTGCTTTTTGTTAAAAAGGAAAAGTACCATTAGCAATATGCTGGCATGTAGTAAGGATTCTAAATATTTGATCAATGTAGTAAAGAATTTTTGAATTAGTCTCTATGAAGGATAAATGAAAAGAAGCTAAATACTGCCTTTTTAAAGCAATTTGTTAATGTGATATATGCAAAATAAAATTTATCAGTCTAACCTTCCCTCTAATGTGTATCCAAGCATTTTGAAAGGGAAGCTGGCATTATTTATTATTTTCTGAATATAATCCATTTGCAAGTAGGTGGAAGAGCTTGCAGTGCACATTAAAATGTATAATTCTCCCATGGTGAATATGAAACAGAATATTAAAATTCTAGATAAGTCCAAAACTGATTTGAATTAGCCATGCAAATCAGTAACCTCTAAACCAGCAGAAAAAATCTTTTAAATAACTCTACATTATAAAGAAAACAAGGGGGAATTCTTGCCTGAATTTAGCATTAAGAAATAACCACACTTATCTTGAATATTGGGTTATTTTTACCTTGTGGGCCTTCTAAATTACATAACTGGCCATGTTTTCCTTTTCATATGAGTCTCTTGAAGATTAGAAATAAATTTGTGATTGACCTTGTGTAAGTTATACACATTTTATATATTAACACTGACCTAAGTACAGTGTACATAAATAAATATATGAATAGTATTATTTAAGTGTTGTGTGGGTGTTCATGAAACCCCTGCATTTTTATGAGATTTCTAGGTATATACACAAAGAATGTTTCTTTTCCAATAAATAATAATGCTAACATTTCTAACTGATTGGCACTTTACACCTTCTTAAGTACTTACATATATATCTCAATAGAACTTCATAACTTCCCAGTGAAATAGAGCCCATATTTTTCCCATTTATAGATAAGAAAATTGGCTAAGAGAAGTTAAAGGAATTGGCCAAAGTCATTTGGTATTAAATGGTGGAAATGACTCTTAAATTAAGTCATTTATCTTTACAAAAGACAAATGATTTAATTTATTATTATTTGCATTAAAAATGCTAGGAGGGACAAAGATGTTAAGAAAAATTGAATGATATCAAGTAGAACACCAATGTCAGTGTAAACATTACAAATGACAAAAATTATTTGAAGTTCAATAAATTTTGCAATAAAATAGTATCTGATATAATAGCATTTACCTAGATTTCTATGTCAGAAAAAAATTCCTTCAAATCAAGATAAAATCAAATACTTTTAGCCAAAAACAAGATAATTCTTATCAACAGGAAAATATTTTTAAAATCCTAAAAAAGGTATTTTTGTAACAGAAGAAAAATGAACTCAGGCAGAAACAAGAAATACAAGGAGAAATAAGGAGCCCCCAAATAGTAATTTTGTGATTATGTATAAATGAATATTAACTCTACACAATAATAACAATATATAAAATTATTGTTGAATAAAAATTTACAAATTATGTAGAATAAATTTAAAATTTATTATGTAGTTTAAAAATTATGTAGAATAAGAATTCATGATCCAAAAATTGCAAAAGACATAAGAAGAAGAATAGAGGAAAAGTATGTTAAGGTCCTAGTATTACTGGCAAGTGGTAAATGTAATAGTTTTTATTAGACTGTAATAAATCAAGAATGGATATTATAATGGGGGTTATCATCAAAAGAATAACAAAATAATTTATAGCTGACAAGTGTATAACAAGTTATAAGAGAAAAAATAATAAAAATTTAAGACAAAAGAAAGCAAGAAATGAGACCAAAAGGAACATAAGACAAATGGAACATATAGAAAGCAAATAATAGGATGGTAAATAATACAATTATATGTAAATGAATAATACTCCAATTAAAAATATAAATTATTGAACTAGATAAAAATGTGTATTTTGTTCTAAAAACAAACTTTAAAAATAAGAACATAGATTGATAGAAAAAGACAGACCATGGCAAAAGCCACTACTAGGTTTAAGATAGTGGATTGATAAATGACCCTATCACCCAGGAACATGTGACAATTCTAAATCTGTAAACACTTAATATTAATAACATGGTAAGTATATATATATATGTAATGCAAAAGCTGACAGAATTAAAGGGGAAAATAGAGAAATTCACAGTCATGGTTATTAATAATCATACCCTGGTGATTAACAATCATACTTGTTTCAATAACTGATAGAAAAAGGTGACATAAAAAATCAATAAAAAAACAAAAAAACTACACAACGCAATTACCAAAATTGACATAATTGACATAAATGAAACCCAAAATAACAGAATTCAAATCATTTTCAAGGACATATTAAACATTTGTCAAAATCACCCATACATACGCTCACAAAATAAGCTCCAATAGACTTCAAGAATCAAAACCTTCAAAGCATATTCTCTGACCACAGTGAAATTATGCCATAAGTGAATAACAAAAAGAGAGAAAAAATGAAAAAGTGTAAAACCTCCAACTGCTTAAAAATTAAGGAATATGCATCTTGGGTCAAATAATTGTTGGGCCAAACAAAAAATAATAATAGAAAATACAAAATATTTTTAACTGAATGCTAATAATGGTACAGAGTAGCAACACTTATTGAATGCAGCTAAAAAACTTACAACAAAATTGAAAGTCTTAAATGCATATATTAACAAAGAAAAAAGGCTTAAAATCTGTGATCTAAGCCAACTTGAGAATCTAGTAAAAAAAGAACAGCAAATCCCACCAAAGAAAGTTTAAGGAAAAAAAAAAAATTAAGAACAAAAATTGGCCAGGCACAGTGGCTCATGCCTATAATCCTAGAACTTTGGGAGGTTGAGGCAGGGGGATCACTTGAGGCCAGAAGTTAGAGATCAGCCTAGCAACATAGCAAGACTTCAGGTCTACAAACATATTTTAAACACTTAGCCAGGCATGATGGTGCTTGCTGTAGTCCCAGTTACTGGAGAAGATAAGGTGGGAAGATCAACTGAGCTCAAGAGTTCAAGGGTACAGTGAACTATGATGGTGCCACTGCACTTCAGCCTGGGTGACAAAGCAAGACTCTGACTCAATAAAAAAATTTTTAAAAACCCATAAATTAATGAAATAGGAACAAATAATAAAACCAAAATCATTAATGATTAATAAATATTATAGATCTTCAGCAAGACTGATGAAAACAAGAAGCAAAAAACACAGATTAACAATAAGAATGGTAAAAGGTACAACACTATGGACTCCACAGATGTTCGAAAGTATTCAGATATTATAAACATATTATTATCCAACAAATTGGATGAAATGAATAGTCTTCTAGAAACACAACTTACCAAACTGACACAAAAAGAAATAAAAGATCCAGTCTTTTATTAGGTTATTAAGTGTGAAATATCTGATGTCCTTAAGTACTAAGTTTGATAGTTGATATCTCTGACATATCACTTTGATAGTTCTCATTTTATTTTTATTGTGAAAGTACATTGTCATTCTTTCAAATACATGTTTTTGTTTGTGATAATCTTTCAAAATTTGTTTGGAGCAATTTCTATGAAACCATGGATAAGTAAAAAATTCATCTTATTTTCAAATATGAATTATGTTGTTCAACCAGTGCAGCACAGACAGCTCAAAATACCAACAAAGTGTTTGGGAAGGATGTGGCTAATGAACATATAGTATGCTGATGGTTTGAGAAGTTCTGTTGTGGTGATTTTAAACTTAAAAATGAGCTATGTGGGTGACCTGAGACCAAGGTGGATGATGATGAGCTGAAAGCTATAGGGGAAGCAAATGCTTCTCAACCTAGGTCTGAATTAGCCGCAAGGTTTGACATTACAATTCCAACAATACTGACCATTTGAAACAAATCAGTAAGGTAAAGAAGCTGGATAGATGGGTACCACATGAATTAAACGTCAGAAGGGAAATTGTCTGGAAGCTTGCCTTTCTTTGCTGTCGTGGCATAAAGGTGAACCATTTTTACACAGTATTGTTATGTGCATGGTGAAAACTGGATTCTTTTTGACAATTTCAAGTGGTCAGCACAGTGGCTGGATAAAGATGAAGTCCTGAGACACAGTCTAAATATTCATCAAAAACAGCTAATTATTCACAATCTAAATATGCATAGTCTGTGAAAATTCACATTCTAAATAGTCATCAAAATGGTATCCGTTTGGTGGTCCAATACTAGTATTATCCAGTAGAGCTTCAGGAAACCTGGTCCATCTACTTACCATAGATATATACTGCAACTAATTGGATAAAATGATGAGGATGCTTACAATTAAGCAGGCAAGGTTGGTCAATAGAGATAACCACATTTTACAAAAATAACACTACTCAAACTACAGAGGCTGGACTTGGGAACACTCTGTCATCCACCATATTCACCAGACCTTGCACCAACTTGTAGAAAACTGAATTTTAGCTAGCTCTACCACTTAAAGACAAAAAGAGGCTGGACTTGGGAACACTCTGTCATCCACCATATTCACCAGACCTTGCACCAACTTGTAGAAAACTGAATTTTAGCTAGCTCTACCACTTAAAGACAAAAGACTTAAAGACAGAATAAATTTGAAAGTCAATCAGGTGAAAAAGTCTGCATTCCTTGGTTAAGTCCTTGGCTGTGCTGGCTCAGAGCTAGTGGAACTAGAGTGTTTATGATTCAATAAGACACCAGCAGATTTTGCACCTAAACTCCAAAATTGCTGTTAATATAGCAGTGATTTAAACAGATGTGCAGACAAGTGGATCTCATCACCTTTGGAGGGCTGTGACTATGCCCCTCAAAGTGAATGT